TAAGATAATAGAATACAATAAATAATATCAAACAGAATAATATTTAATATTATCGTTTAGCATATTATTTACAAATATTTAATAATAAAGCATTAATAATTATTATACATTAATTACAATTTTTGAAAACATTTCACTATTACTTTAAATTATGCAAATATTATTAATCTGAGTTGTCGATTAATACCGCGATTAATTTTGTTAATTATAAAATATTTCCCAACGTATTTTGGTTTTACTGATTTTAAAAAAGTTTACTGCAACAATTTTAACTTAAATTATTACTTGTACACAACAAACTGATTACATAATAAACATGGTATTAAATTAACTAATTAAACTACAGCATCGAATATTTATTGCATGTTATCAGCATGTTATATCACTGTCTGGCAGATAGTCTCATAGTCTTTCAAAATATCTAACGCTAAAACATGATCATATTTAGTAGCTTTTGCGCCAACAAAATAAAAGTTATATGTATAAGCTAAATGTTTATCAAAATTAATCATGGCAATAAACGTATTTTTATTATATAAAATCAACTTTCTAAGAAACAATATGATTTACTGTTATATTGTTTTATATTTTCTCAGAATTTTACCAAAAATATAAAGTATCTATGTTTTAATGTATACTAAATATTTTTTAATAAGCATTAAAATGAGATTGACAAATATAATTATTTTAAAAAATGTTTTATTTATGAAATTGTGTTTATATTAATTACAATTAAAATTTTTATTATAAAGAAATACAGATTTTTATTTAAAAATTTAGATTAAAATAGTCAATCTCAATCGTGTTTTACAACATTTATACTGTATTATCAACATATGATTTGATAATTTTGAAACATACGTGGTAATTGAAAATAATGCTACATCACATTTATGGAATTAAACATAAACATTGAAAAATGTATTTAAAGGCATGAAATAAAAAAAACACTATTTTTGTGATTTTTATATTAAATGCTATGAAATACCTGTGAATGAGTTTTAACATTATTTTCAATTACTACGAATGATTTAAAAAATATAATAATCATATAATAGTAGTAGAATACAAGCTATTTGTATCATGATGCTTATGATGTTTGTATCATCTTTTAATAATAATAATAATAATAATCATCATTTATTGTAATTCAACTTGTGAATACAAGCAGTCATTGGCTGCCAATACACTTAATGTGTATATATAGTTACATTTTTATATTGTTTACAGTATGTGTTATTTTTACAGATATCATATTTTCACACTGTTTCATTGCATATCATTTTTGTTTGTGATGTTGTAATAAATCAATAAAAGTCAAATAATGTTTATAATTAATGACTGCAACAATATAATAAATATTTAATAATTATAGGTAAATATTTAATGAATTTACTTGTATGGAATTTATATTAATTATTTATTTGAAACAACAAATAAATAATTTATTGTAATATATGTAACTTTTAGTGAATACAATATTCATTATAGATAATAAATTATAATGATAAAAATATTTTGACACCATACAAATGATAATAAGTATGACATATTTTCTGATATTATTAAACAATACCAAAATAATGACATGTATACTGTATTAATAACAATGTACCAACACGTTACAATTACATCAATAAAACAAAAACTTAATTAAGTTTGCAAAGAATATATAAAAACAAAACAATTATTTTTACAGATACACCGATTTTATTTATGACATCAGTTATAATAATAATCTTATTAAAATAAATATATAAATACACTAGTTAGGATTTAAAATTGATACTTAAGTAATTATACAAAATATATTTTTGGTTATTTAATTTAACTGTAAATTTTATTATAAATCCGATAGAAATGTATAATATATACAAAATTAAGTTTGAGATTAATTCAAAACGCGTTATAAAACTCGTGATTATAATTGAATTTCTGTCGCAAGTGTTGAACGAAACGCTTCACTATTTGTCGTACGAAGTCGTGAATGACGTGAAGTACGAACGAAACGCCGAACAAACCATCCACTGGTTAGCGACGACCGTATGTCTCAATCGCCGTCAAACTAACTACAGTTCGGCCGACTATTGGATAAACACAAAAATATTGTGTGCAAATAAACAAAAACAATGTCTTAATTCTCCGGTATTCGTGAGGCATAAATACTCGGGCAGTGTTTGCGTCACGTATTCGGGTCTCACACCGAATGGCAGAGCGGACGGCAAACATTTAGGCAATAGTATTGGTCTGCTCACCATTGGCCCCACCGGACCCGTTGAGGTGGCCTTTCATACACCCCATGAAATGACACACTTTGCGAAATGGCATTCATTGGCGAACGACTACAGTGTATATCATTTTCGGATAGATTTTGTTGTGATGAAACTACTGCCGCCTCCCTATCAGACCGCCTGTTATGACTACCGGTTTAATTGGCGCCGGGATATGATTGCGGGCAACCAATCGCATGATCGCAGACCACAATCGCGCAGCAATTGTATGTTGAAAGAGATGTACAGATTGGAGAAAATACAATGTGGTTATAACCGGTATTGGGATTACCCCGAATACGTGTCCAATGGTATAGAGTTTACATCGAAATGGAATAACGGATACTTTGAGAGCACACAACCAACGGCTTCAGAGCAATGTATAGTCAAACCCAATTATCATCACTTGTACCGCGTGTGTCCGGTCGAGTGCGACCGCTATTTGTCTGAATATAGCCTTCATAAATCCGATTTTCCGATATCTAAAGACATGGTACATTTACTTCCATTGATGAAACATATATGGTATTTAAACCGACCACATGTGCGTATGTATTGGCACTATTCGCCCAAAACAAACCCGATTACATACTGGTCATCGATGGGCGGTCTAATGGGTATGTGGTTAGGGCTGAGCGTATTGTCTATCGTAGACACAGTGTTAGTATGGGTGCGACGAGCGCTGCGAATGGTCGCACACAACGCCATGATAAGCGTCCACAAAAGAATTACATCAATTAATAGATGGTATAAGAGATGTTATTGGTTTACCATGGTGCTCTGCACCGGATTTATGGTTTATAATTTAGTATTGGTCTGTCTAGATTATCGTAATAATAATATCACTTTTAAACTACAATTAGCTCAGCGTATATCGATGCCTGCACTGAAAATTCATATCGCACCTACTTACTTTAATGAGTTTAATAATACAGAAGTAGCTAATTATTACCCTGATATAATGGCTCGTATTGCGTCCGTTAAAGCAAGTAATAAACTAACTTATCATGCTAAACAATCGAAACTTATTCACTTAGATTCTTTATTAATAAGAGCTATATTAAGGAGTAAAAATATGACCATGTTCAAACAGTTGGTGTATAACTATGAAACAGCTATAACCGATTGTCACTATGTGTTCACGAATGGCCAACTCGTGCCGTGCGGTCGACAGAAAGTAATACTTGAATTGAGCGGAGTTGGAGTCGCCGTTTTGTTCACACCATTTGCCAACTTTGAGGCCATATTGCGCTCAACAACACTGACCGGCCATCGAGTGATGGACGCGAGTCAGCCGAGGCTCGAGTCGGCGGTCATTACGTTACGAAGTCGACACGTTTTTCATTTTTTCATGTATATTGAGAACAATCAAACGATTGACTTTTTGTCCATCAAATTCAATACCGAAACCGACGTACGGTTTACGAGCACTGCGTTCAGTCGTATACCCCGTCTTAACTACCGGTGCCATCGGGCGAGTGATCACTACTCGCAACGACACAAACGGGTTGAGAGGTGCAAACTGGCGGCCATTAAGCAAATGTTAAACAATAGCACTGGTAGTGATGGGTGTCTTCCGGCGCACATTTTTGAGGGTAGTTTTCATTACACGATAGACATCCACACAGTTTTGGGGGACTGGGGCTATAAATTCTGTCCCATTCGTAGCGCACGGGAGACTAATATCACAGCCGACGATAAGATTAGGAAACGGGAGTTATATGCTATGTATGACAAGTGTGAACACAGTTTGGCGCCCGATTGCTATCAAACCTATACCCAATGGTCAGCCCTAACCCGTCGGCAATCACTGCCGGGCTTTACTCGCATTAATCTAATCCCCGAACACGCGTTCGAAGCCCTGATTGTGGAGAAGTTGGCTATGAATTGGCCGGAATTGGTGTATAATATGGGGGGTATTGTTGGCGTGTGGGTCGGCGTATCCGCACTGTTTGTTACGGCACTTGTCTATTATTTTTATGAATTTATTTTGCGATTAATTAAATGTTGTAAAACACGGTTGAGATAGGCTATTTTTATCTACATTTTTAAATAAAAATCCATATTTCTTTATAATAAAAATTTTAATTGTAATTAATATAAACACCATTTCATAAATGAAACATTTAAATTTTAAAAAATAATTATATTTGTCAACCTCATTTTAATACTTATCAAAAAATATTTATACATTAAAACATAATAGATATTTTATATTCTTGGTAAAATTCTAGGAAAATATAAAATAATATAACAATATTATTTCTTAGAAAGTTGTGAATCAGGTTTGTAAATATAATTAACTCTAAAGAGGATACAATTTTTAACCACAATTCAGCTTTGAATATTGAATAATGTGGTTTATTTTTATCTTGATTTAATTGCAGAGTTGAGTGATTTATGTTTTATTAAACTAAAATACAGGAATTTCAGAAGACTGCTTAAATTAGGTCCAAATAGAGTAAACTCAAAAAGTCAATTAATTATTCAGTCATTTCTGTATTCAAAATAAAGATTTGAGTAAAAAAACGCATTTGAAATGAATTCAATTTAAAACTTTTTAATTTTGCATATCTTATCATAATATTCTATAATAAAAGGAATTGCTATAATTCATCATTTAATTAAATTTTATTCAATTTTGTTTTTAAGTATATAATAAAAAATGGATTTTCATAGGACTCCAACAAATATGCCGTTTGTTTATAGTGGCCATCATTGATGACCAGTTGCCGATCGACTGTCCATTTGGTTACCGATGATAGGATTCGGTCACAATTCGGTCGTTTGTTATACACAGTGTTTGACATCTTTTTGACAATTTTGTATATTTTCTTAAAAGATTTTGTATTTAATTGAAGACCTGTTTTTGAACTAAAAATTCAATCATATTAAATATAAAATTAAATTAAGTAAATAGCATATTAAATTAGTAATCAAATTGTACAATTTTATAATTATCAAATTAAATAAGTAATATTATGTAGTTTGAATTTACCCGTAAAAATCAATCTCGAACAATTTTTGTCCGATTACGCTTAGGCTATAAATATCACGTTTTGTATCGTAAATCGATCCAAACACCTCATTTGGTGTATACCCGGGTGAGCCCACACCATACGTATGACTGGCCTGACTACGTGTGTGAAATGTGGCCAAACCAAAGTCACATAACTTAATAAATTGTCTCTCATTAACGTAATCATACGATATGAGAATGTTTGCCGGTTTTAGATCACGATGGATGATAGGTATTTGAAGCGAATGTAAATAGTGAACGCCTTCGAGAAGTTCCCGGAAAATTTCGGTAAATATGAAATACTCGACTACACACATAGGCTGACCACATTTTCTGTCAAATGCTCCCAGGCGCAATTTTAAAATGTTTTTCAATGTATCTTGGCAATATTCCATCTGAATGAACAAGTTATTATTCTCTGACCAAAATGAATAATATTCAACCACATGAGCGCTCTGTACGTATAGCAAAATCTCTAACTCCTTAATTGATGACGTATCTAAATTAGTTCACAATTAATTAAAATTAGCAAATAAATTATTTGGTAACATTTGGTTAAATATTTACTAAGGTCAGTCATTTTGATAGCATAAGTTTTGCTGGTAAGTGTGTGTTTAGCTCTATACACTTCCCCAAATGTTCCAGCACCAATACGCTCGACGTCAGCAAAATATGAGTTAATTTTGTCACTTGGACAAAGTGTCACTTCGGATGGAAAACAATCAGGCTCCGAAATATTACTCAAAGCATGTGACATTGTTTTATCTATGATAATCTCTATTGACTTTTTATTTTGATAGTTTACGCATTTTAAAAATAAATATCTTGCTAAATAATAAACCACTAGTAATCCAATAATTATCAATAGTGGCAATGAGTACATTAATGGTTTATTGTCCATAAAACTTCCATGTTTATCTAATTCATCATCTGGTAGAGTAACAGTGTCTGGTATTGTAAGTGATTAATTTACATTAATAACAAATTAATATATTTATAATTAATTATATTTATAAACCTGATTGACAAAAATCATTGCCAGTGCCCGCATTCAGTTGACATTTGTCGGCGCACCAGGACTTAAGTCGGGCCGAAGTGTATGACTCGAGGCACAAATACAGACCGTCCGGATCGCACTCTCCGGTCAATAATGGGCCGTATTCTGTGTCCACATCGGCTCTACTGCCACAGTGTGTACGTAAAGGCTTACCGCACATACAGTTGCTAGCTGCATTAATTTTTAACAAATTTACTATTATTAGTAGCATTACAAAGTGATTATTTCATACCAGGATAACAATTGTCGGAACCAATGGTGTTATTAACGTAACAATTGTCGCACTCATCGATATAATGAGAATTTTTGCCACTTTCGATGCAATTGTAGAGTCGATTGGGCAGACAATTGCCGCTCAAAACGGGTTTGCGGCTAAACTCGCCCTCACCGGCCCGGGTGCCACAATGTTGACCGAGTGTGTCACCGCACCGGCACGTACCAGCTAATACACGCAATTACAGCAACTTATATTTTGCACTTACATTATTAATGTAAGGATATAAAAATACATGTTCACTTACTGCATTTAGCGTGACCAGGCTCACTTTGATGACACTCGTGACAGTGCTGCACAAACAGGGCCTCCGCGTGAGGTTTGTCGCACTGATAGATACCGTTTTTGTTACAAATGCCTTTCAATTCACTGCCGACACTGTCTGAGCACAAGCGTCCGGTGCTCTCACCGCACGTACAGCGCACCGATTCGTTGCACGAGTCGTTGTCAAAAGGTTTATTAGTTTGTGCGCAGAGCGGACACGTATCCAGTAGTTTTGCAACTCCTCCCGATTGGGTGCACTCGTATAGGCCCTGTTCCGTGCAATTGCCGCTCAGCACATGGCCGTCTGGACTGTCAACGACGGCCCAACTGCCACAATGCTTGCCCATTAGCAGACCGCACCGGCATGGTTCATCTAGATTTGATAATTAATATGAACATTTAAAAATTTTATTTGTATAAATTTGATAAATACTTATTAAAAATGATAAAGGTATCACTCACCGCAATAGGCCAATCCCTTGCCTAGCACACTATCCCTACTATCGAGGCAATTATGACAGTGCTGTACGTATTGGGCCACATTGCCAGTGTTGCCGGCGCACCGGTATATAGAGCTGCTCCGGCACTGGCCCTTAAACACATTATACGTACGAATATTATTATCGTAGCAAAACGTGCCCTCCTGTCCATTGCAATAACATTCCGTGTCTTTTATACACTCGTCTATGCCGTACACCTGGAAGCGACCGTTACAGTAGGCACAGGGTTGTTTCAGTGTAGCCACAGTGCCCACATCAAAACAACTGTATAGGCCTTGATGTTTCATTGAGATGCATTTGTGTGTTTTATTATTAACATAGTATGAAAATCATAGTTACAGACCTTTGGGTTCACAATCGCCGGTTAGAGGCGACTGTTGTTTGGATGGATCGATGTCAAGGTTGGCCCGATAGCCACAGTGGGTGCCCCGCCATAGAGTGCACGTGCATGGGTTGCCCCCTTCAACTGGTTGTTATATTTATTAGTATTCATTAATAGCTAAAATTAACTTGTTCATTAAATAAACAATCATAATAACTTTATTGCCCAAGCTATTAGTTATAATTTATGTTAGTTGTTTGTTTAATAAAACTAGTTTGTTTTTCACACTTGCCTTGTTGGGTCAGATTTATTGTTGGTAGTGAATTTATAGTATAGATACATATGAAAAAGTGTAAAATAATGTTTATTAAAATGTTAATATTTTTCATGATTTTTAATTAAACAAGTAAAATTTCAGGCAATCAATAATAGTCATTGAGAAAGTAGTTTAAACATTCATTTAGTTACAGTTATAGAAATAATTATAATTATTATTTAATTATAAAATAGTTTATCATATGATATAATTTTTTTATTCCAATTTATTATTATGATAATTGTTATACCAACCTAGTTCAAATTAATAGTTTTTATTTTGTTAGCTGTAAATACATAGAATGCATAAAATTTTAGTTTTATGATAACTCAATAAAATAAGTACTTACGATGATGTTATGATGTTTTGCGAAACAAAATTAATGTAAAAATTTTTAAGCTATAATAATACTTTAGATACCAATAAAGTCGGTATCAAGAGTTTGCTGATAAATAAACTTTATTTAAAACTATTAATATTACAATAGATTGCGATTACATTGGCCAGTAATAAAAATTTCGAAAACATTAAGATTAATTAAATAATTCATAAAAATAATTAATTTGAGATTAATTATTAAACCTGATTAGCGATAAAAGCAGAGTTGCAACTATCCATACCATCGACATCATTGATGGCACATATGGGACACACAAACTTTAACTGTGCCTGAATTCCACCCGCTTTACAGGTATAGTAGCCATCGGGACGGCACTCGCCTATTAGGGTGTACTCGCCGTTAGCTCCGGGAATGTTGGCCCTAACGCAGCAGTGATCGCCGGCCACCACCGCCTTGGCACAGCACAGGGTCTGGTAACCAAAAAACAAACAACATTAATCAATTAGTTACACAATTTTAACTTAATATCTGTTAAATATCATGTATAAACATAAAACCATATTGGTGTTATTATTATGGTGTTAATTTAAAATCTTAACAAAACATAATTTATTCCAATAGATTTAAAATTTAAAAAATTATATTAATTTTACCTGGAACAGTTTCCATTGGGCACCAATCAAAGCCGGGTCTGCTGTAACTACGCTGGCAATTGGGACAAATGAGTTTGAGCTCGGCTTTTTGGTTTAGGGCTACGGCAATAAATTGCTACGGCACCGGTAGAGGCCATTTTTCAGACAGGTACCTTTCAATATTATACCACGATTGGTCTGTTTGTTGGCAATACTACCGCATATATTGCCCGCAACATCACCGCAAAGACAATCATTTGCTTAATGGGGAAAAATAAAATATAAATTAGCTAGATTACTTGTATATTTTAATTCAAGTTTCACACTCTTATATGTTACTTACCCAGTGCATCGGCTTCAACTGATTTACCATAAGCTAAGTTTAAGCTCAAGCTAATGGTAACCACCAGAAAGACAATTGTGAGTCTCATTTTTAACTAACTATTTTGATAATTTGTCGTATTAATTGTAGTGAATTTGCTTTGGAAAAATGATGCCTTAAATTTTGGTTTATATATCATATAGTTATCTCATATAATCTCTCAATCTATAAATTTATTGTAGTAATATATGAATTTCAATATATTATCACTTGATTTTTGAACTAGATCCTAAATATTGAAATCACAATGTACAACTACAGTATATACTAATTTATACATTATCTATACTTTTATTATTTAGTAAAACTATTTCATTTTAACAACATATAAAATGAAATATATTAAGACTATAAATGAAATTATATTAAAATTATGTTTAAAAATGATTTCATCGATGTTAATATGTGTATTAAAAATATTCAGTTATTTTTCCTTTCTCATAATTAAGTTGTAGTCGAATTATTTCATACTATAATTATTTATAATCTTATAATAAATGTATTTCAGTTTATTAATAGATTATTAACATATGCTTTAACACGGTAATAAATTATCAATGAAATCATTTGTATACTATATGTGTATTATTTTGCATCAATTCACATGTTATACATATGTATAATATATTCTAATAATTTCATCAAAAATTACTTATATTTTCAAATAAATTCTACAGTACTATCATAAATATATGTAAAATTGAATTTTAATTTTCTTTTTGTAATAGACTTATATAACTTTAATATTTATTTTATAATATTCCTTTTATTTAATTACATTAAAATTAATTAAAATTTACTAATTACATTTAATATTATTGCAAGGAACATAAACAAAATAATTGTCAAATTATAGCACGTAAATTAAAACACTTAATTCACTCCAAAATAACCTTTATTCAATTAACTTATAAAATACCAATAGAATAAAAAGCAAAAATTACAGTTTATAATCATGGTATAAATTACACATGTACAACATTATCATGCGCAATTCGCCGCCGCAACACATCGTAGGCTATTACTAGACTCCTTGATATAGCCCGGGTTACAGACACATCCGTTAACGCAAACCGCAGCGCACATCATGGGTGCACTGTTGACATTTTGGCATGTTTTTTCGCATAAACTAGCACACGAACTGTATTTGCCATTCACGCATACCGGCAATGGTGCTCGAATACGCTGGCGAACTTGATCAATTTGTAAAATTTTAAGTTTATTGTAATTAACTTATATCATTAAATGTTCGTTGTAATAGTATAACTTACTTTGTCCGGATATAATACAAGCGTTAATAACCAAAATTAAAGTTATCACCAATATTTTAGTCATGTTTAATAGAATATTTAGCGTGTAGTTTTTTGTCTCAACTTTTTAATTAGTCCAGTCCTTATATACTTTTATTTTAAAATATTTTTAATTTATGAAATTACAGATGTTTGCGGAAATAAATGTTACTTTATTTAAAAGGTAAATGTAAAGTCTTTATAACATAATGTAAAGAGTATAAATGTTTTTATAATTAATAATCAGTGTGAACAAAAGGAACATGTTTCAAATAAAATATAAAAAATTTAACAAAACCATGTAATTATTAATTTTTCAAAAAGATAATGATAAATTATTAACACACAATAGTACCCTAAAATTAAAAACATCTACATAAATCAAAACATATTGTCTGGTAATCTAATAGTAAACAAAATTTACATTTATCAAGTGTCACTTATTGTAGTGTCTATAAAATAATTCACAAATATTACAATATAATACTAAATTATATATGACCACGGTCAAACCTGGTTTAAGAGAGAGGTTTAAGTGCAAGTTGATTGTGACACACATTGAGTACCGGACAGAACATAGCCTTTGTTACAAACACAGCCAACCCGGCAGAGAAAGTCACAAAATGTGGGCGGATTCTTATAGTTTTCACACGTGATCGGACAGTTAGTACCGCATGTTGAATAATAACCGTTTGCACATCTAGGACCTAGAATAGAAATAAAAGTAAATTTAAAATATACTATTATAAACTTAACGTTGACTACCAAGTTGAGCAGCTGTTATACACGAAACAATTAATAGAAATGCTACAATTTTAATGAATTTTATCATGATTATCTGTTTATTATTTTGCTCGATGTAAATGTTGATTATTGTTTTATATAACTAAAACTTATAACTAATAATTATAACTAAAACTCTGATATTTATATAGAATGTTGTTTATGAAAAATGTATAAAGTAATGCCAAATAATTTTTAAATAATTGATTGAGCAAAAATATAATAAAGTATAACAATAATAAAATAATGCAATTAATTTTTATAACTAGA